CCCTTAGCTTGTGTTTTTCAATGTTTGTTTACATTCACGCTCGTTTCCGCTTGCCGCTGATTGGCGGAAATCTGACACTTCCGTTGACGGGGAGCCACAGGGGAATTGGAGGTGGAATTCAAATTGCAGAGACGTAGTTGCAAGCTCTCCTTCCTTTTCCCGCCCTGCCGCCTAGCCCCCTGGAGAGCTTGCTCGAGCCTGGCTAAACTTAGAGTAGCAGGCTTATTTCACTCAGTGGCTGGCTACTGATGACAGCCCTGGTTACTGGTTTTGTTTTGCCTTCACAGCATATGGAACCTCACATATTGGAGTTATAGCTCTTACTAAGATCCTTGCAAGAACTATAACAGAAGATTCTAGAGATGACATCCTCATAAATACTGTAAGTATACAACTAAGTATAAAACTGACAAGTTATCTGTACATGAATATGCCTATTGATGTCCTTTTACGTGCCTGTTAAGTAAGTAAAACCTCTTGGCAACAATTTCACGATTCACTTTATTTTGTATGTCGTAAATTTAACTTAAGAGTATGTGGACAAAATCCTGTGGTATGGCAAATTCCCTTGCAAACGAAGCCTTAATTGATCTTTTCTTTAGCAGTACTTTTACATGGGACTATTATTCAGTCCTTAGTTCTTAGAGTCTGAGGATATAATCCCATGGTAAGGAAAAAATCAGCTCTCAGTGATTTTTGTGGCATGGGATTTTGAGGAAATTTGTAATCAGGTAGTTATTAGTTGTTGTTTTTATTTTCCATGCTATTAGGACAAATAATGTGGCTACATTTGAAAGCTGTCATAATTTTATTTAGATCTTAACAAAACTCCACTTTTTAGTGTGATCCTGGCTGGGTACGTACAGACATGGCTGGGCCGAAGGCAACAAAGTCGCCAGATGAAGGTTTGTAGACTATTGGCATACCATTTTAGATAAGAGTGAACTGATGTGTAAAAGCTGGTCTCATGTTGATTACCTGTGTTGTATAGGAGCCCTTCTCCACAACAGATATCAGCACTTAGTTTTTATTTTGGTGGATGGTGGGGGGGTCTTATGGCATTATTAAGAGTCAAAGAAAATGTTTTGATTAAGAATGTCAGGGACCAACTCTACGGCCTGTTAAATAGAGAGGTGTTCCCTTTATAGAAGGTCAAAGAAAATGAATGAAGAATAGTAGTGATCAAATTTAGAGAGGTGTCTGTCATAGTGAGATGTGCGCCAAAGGAGACTTGACAGTGGCTTTCCTTGAGAGAGGAGGAACTTGTGTAATTTTTGCACCCCTCGGTCGACGTGTCGACCGAGCAACGGTCGACACTCGATCGCCAAAGTACTGAGAAAAATCTTGTGAGATAAACTCCTTTTGATTTGTTTTCAACTCTCTAAGCCCTTCTTAGTGAGCTCAATTCCTATATAGCTGCATAACATCCTAGCTGTCTTGTCGTGAAAACTCTCGTAAATGTGAAATCCCTCAGGCCTCATACTGAAATAAGCTGCGGAGGTGTTAAGCTTGTTTTTGTTATGGAATTGTAGTTCAATTAAAACACCACTGATGTTAAATGCCTTTAAGGCTGGAAGAAGGATTTCAGGTCACTGCAGGTGATCTCTTGACCATTTTGAAAGTCCCGATTTCCACATATACATTCTACAGACTAATCTCCATACATTCCTTTAACAAATGATCATTTCATTTGCTCTCATAAGGTTTCCTCTTAAAGAAGCATTGAGGTTATGAAAAATTTGATGTTGGTCACTCGGGGATCTTAAAGGGTTAAGATTGTCTTTTCTAAACGGTTAAGGTTGCGCAGAGCAGTCACTTCCAAGGACGGAAATGTGGAAAAAAGGGAAGTAAGGGGAGGCTAAAAGCCGCTTACTGCATCTTACAGTTTGTATTTACTTTGCCAGGGAAATGCAATTTTATCAAGGAAAAGTGAGGAAATTTAGAAAACTGCATGGGCCCGTTTCTCGAAAGTCCCACGGTAATCTTTCGGGTCTGGAAAGTTATGTTTGCTTTGTTTGCACTCAGCATCAAAGTTTTAATAGTTTTGAAAAGGATGCAATGAATTGTAGCTTGTTTCTGACATAGGAACTGTGCCGCTATTCAATAGGTTTTTATTTTAAAATTTGCCTTCGGGCCCGAAAAGTTACCAGGCCTTTCGAGAAACGGGCCCATGTCAATCAGCCGAGGCAACAATCAGTGGTGTTTGTACAACGTTGCTTGAAAAGGAAGAAAAATTAAAGTTTTTTGTTTTGTTTTGTTTCCTCAGGCGCAGAGACACCAGTTTATGTTGCAATGCTTCCAATAAATGCTGGCAAACCACAAGGAGAATTTCTGAAGGATAAAGTGATACTTGAATGGGAAACAATGTCTTTTCGTTCACATGCGGTTGCTACTGACAAAGACTCACTACAAGAAGGTCGCTGAGTTACCGTATTTACCCGATTAAACGCCGCCAAAATAGCGCCCCTCCCCTCCCTTCCCCCCAGTAAACGCCGCAGATGGAAGCAAAATTACCAATAAAACGCCATTACATTTACATTGTTTACGTGTTCTTTTTTGCCTTGTAGCGAACGATCTGCCTGTTTACGTGGGCAACGTGATCTTCTTGGTCCTTGTGGTCATCGTGGTTGTCGTAGTCCTGGGCTATCGTGGTCCTTGCGGTCTGCAAGGTTGTTGTGGTCCTTCTGGCCATCTCGGTTTTGCCATGAGCGTTTTTGTAGTGTGATCGTTAGCGGCGTCATCGTTCTAAACATCAAAGCCGTTTTAGTTCTAGTGGTTCTCACTGTAGTTGTGGTCTTTGTCGTCGTGATCCTTGTAGCCGAGGTGGTCCTTGCAGTCACGTGGTCCTTGCAGCCGTCGTAGTCCTTGTGGTCTTCGTCTTTCCTTAGTCGTCGTTATCGTGGTTGTCATGGTCACTGAGGTCTTGTGGTCCTTGTGATCATGGTGATCTTTTGCTTCTCAGGGGTGGATCCAGGATTTTTTTTTTAGGAGGGGGTGCACTCGTCTCTTGCGCTACTTCAACACCAATAAACCACATAGTTTTTTTTTTTTTTGCAGCATACCAGTTGTAATAGAAAACCGCAGGTCATCTCGGGGGGGGGGGGGGGGGGCGCCCCCCCCCCCCCCACCCCCCCACACGCCCGCCCGTGTCCCGCACCCCGCTTTCACAGACCGTCTTTAGTTGTTGGTGCCCCGCGGTGGGCAAACTT